GCGTAAATCCCCACTAGCTGGGGCACTCAATGCTGACGAAGCCCAGCCAGAGGGTGAGATCCCAGTGGCGGCGCACGACAGCAGCGAAGGCGAGGAACCTCCGGGGTTCAACGTAGCTCCGTACACTCAGCTGCCTGCCGTCGTGGCCGTGCTCGGCTGTGCCTTCATCCTGGCTGCCTTCGTTGGGGTCTTCCTCTTGCTGCAGATGCGCTCAGGTGGCGCTTCTTTGGGCTGGAGGACCAAAGTGCCCTCTGTGTATTCAGAGACGAGGGGGGAGCGGGTGGGCTTCGGGTTTGGCTTCGGCCAGGGACGGGAGAGGAATGCACGGATATGCTACAAGGGGATCCCCACTGTGTGGGGGGATGAGGACACGATCGCCTACCAGTCTGAATCAGACAGCGAGGAAGTGGACGGTCACAGCGAGAGGACCGCTTTCATCAAGACACAGAGCTCGATCTAGCTGAACCCGCATCTGCTGTTGTGGTGTCTGACACCACGACATCCTGCATCAGCATTTAGATCTGACAGTACGGAGCCGATACATGAAGGAGAATCACGCAGTCTCAGAAAAAAAAAAAAACACAAAACGCAGGCCTTACTGTCCCATTAGCACCACGTCTAAAATGTTTTTTCATATATTTATTTACATTTGTTAATTTATCTTATTTGATTGATATTCTGATGTAAGGTGTGTTCATTATGCATTTGACTCTTTGTCACCAGTTTACGGTATTATGCAACGGGCTTATTTTTACTTTAACTACCTGCTTCATTTTGTCCAATTTGTCAATGGCGTATTTCAGACATTTTGTATTGCTCTCCCACAGCGGCGGGGGATGACAGACAGATTTAAATCGTCAAAATAAAAGCAGCAGAGGCCCAGATGTGCTGACTATTTGTCCCAAAAACATTGAATCCTTCATTTTACCATAATGCAACTCAGTAGCATCATTTGTTAGAGCCCATCTGCCTGTTAAATGTTTCAAACTCCACAACCCCATGATCTGTAAAAAAGAAAAAGTAGACTTCAACCACCCGTTAAGAACTGTTCTGGTGACATCTTTGTGGTTATTTTTTAGGATTTTAAAATTTCTCCAGAACTAAAGAAGCCACGATGTGATGAGTAAGAACTGAACTTGACGTGTAAAACAAAAGTGTCTCTCAAAACCAGTGGAGTGCATTACTTCCCTTAAATAAATATGCATCTGATTTGTCCTGAACACAAACATCTGGCACATCTGCACAGGCAGTTCTTATATTGAATGTGCGGTTGTTATATTTGATGAGATTCCTGGCAGATTGTGGGCCAGGGGTCATGAAGTCAACATTGCTCTTCATTAATAGTCAGAAAACTTTGAATTGAAGATTTCCGCAGCGTACTGGGACTGCGTAATAAAACATCCCACAGGCTGTTTGATGAGCAGGAGACTGGAGGATTCTCTGTTTTTAATAAAGACACAGTGGGAATTGCCACAGCAGCGTAGATATATATATAAATATATCTATCAAATATATCAGTCACGAAATCTTACTGACTTGTAAAACAGTGACACTGTTTTTTTGAATAAAATCAAAACACCACGTAGCCCAAAGCTGCTTGGCTGACCTTTACAACATTTTTCTACTTGGTTGCTGCTGGTAAGAAATAAGATCATTCTCTCTTCATTTTCCCCACAGAGCATATATTGATTTTGGGTTTTTCTCCCAGAGCGTCTTCATCAGTTGTAAACCTCTTTCCCTTTCTATTAAGAGCGCCATACATTGAAAGACAAATACCTGCTTTATTTCCCATCTGCAACGGTATAAACTTAGTACTTACGCCACACAAGCTGAATCAAAGCCTTTCGGATCTGAAGGCCAGAATGCTGACTGATTAAGAAATGAAGAGATCTTGTCTCGCGTTTTCTATGTTTGTTTTATATCCTTTTTTATTTAACTGACAATGGATGTTAATGTGGAGATCAGTTTCATGCTGGAATAAAATGACTTTGGCTGTTGCATAGATAGACTGTGTGTGTGCTTTTACTCCCAGATTTGAGCACCTTTGGGGGTTTAAATTTTAAAATTTTAAATTTTTTTAAGAGCTGGCCCCTGACACCACCCAAGAGAACAGATGGCTCATCACTTCTTCATGGCCGTATATCATTGTTGCAAGTGTGTTCACTCCAGGCGTTTAGCTTTAACAGGGAGCCAGCATTCTGTCTTCTCCCTACAACCCAGTCGCAGCGAGGGCGCTGCCAAAAAGCCTTCAAGAAACGGTTTTCTCAAGCTTCAATGTGGTGTCCCCCTTAAAGTTTAAATTAATATAAATGGAAGAGATTTGTATGCATGCGGGAAAACAATACCCGCTGGTAGGAGCTTGTTCATTAGCAGCTTTCCTCTGTAACACCCTCTACAGAGGCAGGTAACTGGGTTCATGGGTGAAGGTACATTCATTCTGTGGCCCATAATTAGATCTGCCGGGAGAACTCGCTGCACAACTCAGTGCCCCTCGGATGCACCACGCTTTGCATTATAAATGTTCATGTGTGAAAGTAACGGTGTGTTTGTGTGTGTATAGGCCTGTGTAGTTAAAGTGGATGAGTTTGAAAGCCTTTTATCTCATTCACACCTCCATTACATGTTTGTGTGAGCTGTGATCAGTTTCTGTGGCTGTTTTTTCCCCTAGCTGTGCCCTTTAGCTTGTATTAATTAGCTGTTGTGTTCAGTACAATGCTGCCTGCTAACTAGGCTTGGCAACAAGAAATGTTAGATGAATTAAAACAACAAATCAGTTCCCCATTAGCCGATTTCACATTCAGATCAATTGGACACCGAGGTTCCAGTCTCATTATTCCAGCTGGTCAAACATCATTTGTGTGTTTGTGCTGAATCTGAAAATAGCAGGGTGTCAGTTCTCCCTCCCATATTTTGCACAGAAAGGTTGAGAAACACAGTTGGCAGTCTGGACTAAAATGCAGAGGCTGAGTGTCCCCAGGGTGCCTCCACAGGCGGCCCCTTCCACTCAGACAGACACACGCGCACACACACAGTGCCACTTCCTCTCTGCTGCCACACATCAGAGCAGTGATCACTCTCAGGCCTCAGGAAACCCTGCCACCACATTCTTTTCTTCTTCTGTGTCCCCGATCCGTTTTTATGTAGCGTGAACAAAGAAAAATCTGTTGTCATGTTAAGCTCAATGTTGTCACCGATAGCGTCACAACACCTGCGCCCTCACACAGGGGTGAAAACACGCTGCTGGTAATTAGGGTGTGAGCTTCTCTCGGTTTAATGTCAGGCTGAGTCCTTGGCAGCCAACCACTGACAAGTGAAGCATTGGACAGTGTAAAAGGGCTGATATCTCTAACACTAATCTGAGACTGACAACATCTGTAGACATGGACTGTACTGCTGTACCGACTCAACGTTGCCCCCTACTGATAAGAGAATTAGTCAAGCTCTTGAAAACATGAAAATAGCATTACAGAAGATTAATTTGTGCAGTCAAGAGACAAATTAATTTCAGATAAGTGAAACTTTTTAAAAGGACAATCTTGGTATTTTGCTCTTTATTCACTTCCCATCTCTTCTGTTTTACTATAGCTTTAATCCATCTTTAATCAACAAATACGGACGAGACCTTGCCGTCATATATTACCTCTGAACAAAAAAAAAAAAAAAACAGCGCTACAACAGATATCACATTTAAAAAAGAAAAGAAAAACATTTATACAGAGGCCGCGACACACACCGAGACAGCAGAGGAGAAGGTTATGACAAGGTTATAAAGACAACAGGAGAAAAGTGCAAATTCAAGATGCAGTGAAGTCTGGTCGCACAGAAATGTTGATCACAGCTGGAGGGGCGGAGAGAGGGACTGCAGTGCTCACAGTGAGACAGAAGGCAGAATGTATTGAACTATGGCAGAGCAGACAGGCCAGAGGAGGAGAGCAACAAAGCAGCAGAGCTCCTGTGGAGAATGAAAGAGATGACCGGTTAAAGTGATGGGACACAGTGGGGCAGCGCGAGATGGCAGCGCGGTACAAAGTGCAACACAGGTGGGCCGCGAGATGTCCGGCCTCAGCTTTTTTGGACACAGATGACAACATCCTCCACGGGCCGCTGTGGAGGCGAATACGCACCAGAAAAAGGCTGAGAAAAAAAAATAAAAGAGTGCGGCTCATTTGAAGAAACTTCTTCTGAGGATTTCTGTGTATGGTTTGATACAACTCCTTAAAAAGGATCTGTTCACCCAAATTACAACCAAAAAGGTCTCATAAGTCTCCTTTGTCACTTAGTGGTAGCTTGACATGCAGACAGTTTTGGTTTTATGTGCTGAGGCTTTGAGAAAATCCCTTTGAGATTTCTACCACTAGAGGAATTTTACACGTCTATATAGCAATCTTTACAGTACAATCTTTATATAAGAATCAACATATTATGCAATGTGTGCAT